GAAATTAATTACAGAGATGATAACTATATGTGTTGATATTGAATATGGTAACTATTCTCTTATTCCACTGTGACTGAAATGTTATTTCTCCGAATTTTTTGGAAAATATTTGCCATGAAAATTACTATGTACACTAATTACTTAATAACAAAATACAAATGAAAGGAGATTCTTCCAGCAAAAAGAGGAACATTTAGAAAAACAAGTATTTCCTTATTTTTTGAAGATTATATGAAGATGTAACCGAAATTTCAGGCATGTTGGCTTTCATATCAGATGAATTGTATGTTGGAAAAAGCACCAAACAAATCTACCACACACACATTTATATAAAGAAGAACACATATGTAACTACATGGTGGGGGGAGGGGGAGTGAATTCCCAAGGGGGGGATCCTTACCTGGGTGCAGTTTTCATTTCTCAGAATGCCAGATGTGGTGTCATTTTTTGTGTGCTTTTGTGTGCTTTGGAAAGACATTTTATCCCTGATGTTCTGATAGCATATAATGGGTCTCCTGTAAGTTATTCAGTGAGGTAGCCACCAGATTCTACAAGGATACCTGACCTCAAAATGACCTTGGCTGTTCATGGGAGTGAAAACTCTACAAACAAATAAACAAAACATGCCTTTCACAAGTACCTTCTATGGTACAGAGATTATAAAGTCAGTGAGTGTTCAAGTGCAGCTATTAATTTTGTGTTGGATATATTATATTATTCAAGAGCAGCTGCCAAGTAGAATTGTCTGTGATTACCAGATACATGTTTTACCATCAGTACTAGGTAGAATTTTCTGTGTGATTACCAGATCTGTGTTTTACCATCAATACTAGGTAGAATTGTCTGTGATTACCAGATACATGTTTTACCATCAGTACTAGGTAGAATTTTCTGTGTGATTACCAGATCTGTGTTTTACCATCAGTACTAGGTAGAATTGTCTGTGATTACCAGATACATGTTTTACCATCAATACTAGGTAGAATTGTCTGTGTGATTACCAGATCTGTGTTTTACCATCAGTACTAGGTAGAATTGTCTGTGTGATTACCAGATCTGTGTTTTACCATCAGTACTAGGTAGAATTTTCTGTGTGATTACCAGATCTGTGTTTTACCATCAGTACTAGGTAGAATTGTCTGTGATTACTAGATACATGTTTTACCGTCAGTACTAGGTAGAATTGTCTGTGTGATTACCAGATCTGTGTTTTACCATCAGTACTAGGTAGAATTGTCTGTGTGATTACCAGATACATGTTTTACCATCAGTACTAGGTAGAATTGTCTGTGTGATTACCAGATCTGTGTTTTACCATCAGTACTAGGTAGAATTGTCTGTGTGATTACCAGATACATGTTTTACCATCAGTACTAGGTAGAATTGTCTGTGTGATTACCAGATCTGTGTTTTACCATCAGTACTAGGTAGAATTGTCTGTGTGATTACCAGATACACGTTTTACCATCAGTACTAGGTAGAATTGTCTGTGTGATTACCAGATACATTTTTTACAATGAGTACTTTGTAGAATTGTCTGTGTGATTACCAGATCTGTGTTTTACCATCAGTACTAGGTAGAATTGTCTGTGTGATTACCAGATACATGTTTTACCATCAGTACTAGGTAGAATTGTCTGTGTGATTACCAGATCTGTGTTTTATTTCAAGTGCTAGATAGAATTTTTTGTGTGATTACCAGATCTGTGTTTTACCATCAGTACTAGGTAGAATTGTCTGTGATTACCAGATCTGTGTTTTACCATCAGTACTAGGTAGAATTGTCTGTGTGATTACCAGATACATGTTTTACCATCAGTACTAGGTAGAATTGTCTGTGTGATTACCAGATCTGTGTTTTACCATCAGTACTAGGTAGAATTGTCTGTGTGATTACCAGATCTGTGTTTTACCATCAGTACTAGGTAGAATTGTCTGTGTGATTACCAGATCTGTGTTTTACCATCAGTACTAGATAGAATTGTCTGTGTGATTACCAGATCTGTGTTTTACCATCAGTACTAGGTAGAATTGTCTGTGTGATTACCAGATCTGTGTTTTACCATCAGTACTAGGTAGTACTATAGAATTGTCTGTGTGATTACCAGATCTGTGTTTTACCATCAGTACTAGGTAGAATTGTCTGTGTGATTACCAGATCTGTGTTTTACCATCAGTACTAGGTAGAATTGTCTGTGATTACCAGATCTGTGTTTTACCATCAGTACTAGGTAGAATTGTCTATGTGATTACCAGATCTGTGTTTTACCATCAGTACTAGGTAGAATTGTCTGTGTGATTACCAGATCTGTGTTTTACCATCAGTACTAGGTAGAATTGTCTGTGTGATTACCAGATCTGTGTTTTACCATCAGTACTAGGTAGAATTGTGTTTTACTGTGTGATTATTACCAGATCTGTGTTTTACCATCAGTACTAGGTAGAATTGTCTGTGTGATTACCAGATACATGTTTTACCATCAGTACTAGGTAGAATTGTCTGTGTGATTACCAGATCTGTGTTTTACCATCAGTACTAGGTAGAATTGTCTGTGTGATTACCAGATCTGTGTTTTACCATCAGTACTAGGTAGAATTGTCTGTGTGATTACCAGATCTGTGTTTTACCATCAGTACTAGGTAGAATTGTCTGTGTGATTACCAGATACACGTTTTACCATCAGTACTAGGTAGAATTGTCTGTGTGATTACCAGATCTGTGTTTTACCATCAGTACTAGGTAGAATTGTCTGTGTGATTACCAGATCTGTGTTTTACCATCAGTACTAGGTAGAATTGTCTGTGTGATTACCAGATATCTGTGTTTTACCATCACCATCAGTACTAGGTAGAATTGTCTGTGTGATTACCATCAGATAGGTAGAATTCTGTGTTTTACCATCAGTACTAGGTAGAATTGTCTGTGTGATTACCAGATAAATGTTTTACCATCAGTACTAGGTAGAATTGTCTGTGTGATTACCAGATACATGTTTTAGAATTGTCTGTGTGACCATCAGTACTAGGTAGAATTGTCTGTGTGATTACCAGATCTGTGTTTTACCATCAGTACTAGGTAGAATTGTCTGTGTGATTACCAGATACACGTTTTACCATCAGTACTAGGTAGAATTGTCTGTGTGATTACCAGATCTGTGTTTTACCATCAGTACTAGGTAGAATTGTCTGTGTGATTACCAGATCTGTGTTTTACCATCAGAAGGTTGTCTGTGTGATTACCAGATCTGTGTTTTACCATCAGTACTAGGTAGAATTGTCTGTGTGATTACCAGATCTGTGTGATTACCAGATCTGTGTTTTACCATCAGTACTAGGTAGAATTGTCTGTGTGATTACCAGATACATGTTTTACCATCAGTACTAGGTAGAATTGTCTGTGTGATTACCAGATACATGTTTTAGAATTGTCTGTGTGACCATCAGTTTTACCATCAGTACTAGGTAGAATTGTCTGTGTGATTACCAGATCTGTGTTTTACCATCAGTACTAGGTAGAATTGTCTGTGTGATTACCAGATCTGTGTTTTACCATCAGTACTAGGTAGAATTGTCTGTGTGATTACCAGATACATGTTTTTTACCATCAGTACTAGTAGAATTGTCTGTGTGATTACCAGATAGGTAGAATTGTCTGTGTGATTACCCGATACTGTGTTTTACCATCAGTACTAGGTAGAATTGTCTGTGTGATTACCAGATACATGTTTTACCATCAGTACTAGGTAGAATTGTCTGTGTGATTACCAGATCTGTGTTTTACCATCAGTACTAGGTAGAATTGTCTGTGTGATTACCAGATCTGTGTTTTACCATCAGTACTAGGTAGAATTGTCTGTGTGATTACCAGATACACGTTTTACCATCAGTACTAGGTAGAATTGTCTGTGTGATTACCAGATACATGTTTTACCATCAGTACTAGGTAGAATTGTCTGTGTGATTACCAGATACATGTTTTACCATCAGTACTAGGTAGAATTGTCTGTGTGATTACCAGATCTGTGTTTTACCATCAGTACTAGGTAGAATTGTCTGTGTGATTACCAGAATTGTCTGTGTGATTACCAGATCTGTGTTTTACCATCAGTACTAGGTAGAATTGTCTGTGTGATTACCAGATACTGTGTTTTACCATCAGTACTAGGTAGAATTGTTGTGTGATTACCATCACCATCAGTACTAGGTAGAATTGTCTGTGTGATTACCAGATACTGTGTTTTACCATCAGTACTAGGTAGAATTGTCTGTGTGATTACCAGATCTGTGTTTTACCATCAGTACTAGGTAGAATTGTCTGTGTGATTACCAGATCTGTGTTTTACCATCAGTACTAGGTAGAATTGTCTGTGTGATTACCAGATCTGTGTTTTACCATCAGTACTAGGTAGAATTGTCTGTGTGATTACCAGATCTGTGTTTTACCATCAGTACTAGGTGTGTGATTACCATTACTAGGTAGAATTGTCTGTGTGATTACCAGATGTGTTTTACCATCAGTACTAGGTAGAATTGTCTGTGTGATTACCAGATCTGTGTTTTACCATCAGTACTAGGTAGAATTGTCTGTGTGATTACCATCAGTACTATAGAATTGTCTGTGTTTTACCATCAGTACTAGGTAGAATTGTCTGTGTGATTACCAGATCTGTGTTTTACCATCAGTACTAGGTAGAATTGTCTGTGTGATTACCAGATCTGTGTTTTACCATCAGTACTAGGTAGAATTGTCTGTGTGATTACCATCAGTACTAGGTAGAATTGTCTGTGTGATTACCAGATCTGTGTTTTACCATCAGTACTAGGTAGAATTGTCTGTGTGATTACCAGATACATGTTTTACCATCAGTACTAGGTAGAATTGTCTGTGTGATTACCAGATCTGTGTTTTACCATCAGTACTAGGTAGAATTGTCTGTGTGATTACCAGATACACGTGTTTTTGTCTGTGTGACCATCAGTGTTTTACTAGGTAGAATTGTCTGTGTGATTACCAGATACATGTTTTACCATCAGTACTAGGTAGAATTGTCTGTGTGATTACCAGATCTGTGTTTTACCATCAGTACTAGGTAGAATTGTCTGTGTGATTACCAGATCTGTGTTTTACCATCAGTACTAGGTAGAATTGTCTGTGTGATTACCAGATACATGTTTTACCATCAGTACTAGGTAGAATTGTCTGTGTGATTACCAGATCTGTGTTTTACCATCAGTACTAGGTAGAATTGTCTGTGTGATTACCAGATACATGTTTTACCATCAGTACTAGGTAGAATTGTCTGTGTGATTACCAGATCTGTGTTTTACCATCAGTACTAGGTAGAATTGTCTGTGTGATTACCAGATCTGTGTTTTACCATCAGTACTAGGTAGAATTGTCTGTGTGATTACCATCAGTACTAGGTAGAATTGTCTGTGATTACCAGATCTGTGTTTTACCATCAGTACTAGGTAGAATTGTCTGTGTGTTTACCAGATCTGTGTTTTACCATCAGTACTAGGTAGAATTGTCTGTGTGATTACCAGATCTGTGTTTTACCATCAGTACTAGGTAGAATTGTCTGTGTGATTACCAGATACATGTTTTACCATCAGTACTAGGTAGAATTGTCTGTGTGATTACCAGATACTTGTTTTACCATCAGTACTAGGTAGAATTGTCTGTGTGATTACCAGATACATGTTTTACCATCAGTACTAGGTAGAATTGTCTGTGTGATTACCAGATCTGTGTTTTACCATCAGTACTAGGTAGAATTGTCTGTGTGATTACCAGATAGGTAGAATTGTCTGTGTTTTACCATCAGTACTAGGTAGAATTGTCTGTGTGATTACCAGATCTGTGTTTTACCATCAGTACTAGGTAGAATTGTCTGTGATTACCAGATACATGTTTTACCATCAGTACTAGGTAGAATTGTCTGTGTGATTACCAGATCTGTGTTTTACCATCAGTACTAGGTAGAATTGTCTGTGTGATTACCAGATCTGTGTTTTACCATCAGTACTAGGTAGAATTGTCTGTGTGATTACCAGATCTGTGTTTTACCATCAGTACTAGGTAGAATTGTCTGTGTGATTACCAGATCTGTGTTTTACCATCAGTACTAGGTAGAATTGTCTGTGTGATTACCAGATACATGTTTTACCATCAGTACTAGGTAGAATTGTCTGTGTGATTACCAGATCTGTGTTTTACCATCAGTACTAGGTAGAATTGTCTGTGTGATTACCATCAGTACTAGGTAGAATTGTCTGTGTGATTACCAGATACATGTTTTACCATCAGTACTAGGTAGAATTGTCTGTGTGATTACCAGATCTGTGTTTTACCATCAGTACTAGGTAGAATTGTCTGTGTGATTACCAGATACATGTTTTACCATCAGTACTAGGTAGAATTGTCTGTGTGATTACCAGATCTGTGTTTTACCATCAGTACTAGGTAGAATTGTCTGTGTGATTACCAGATCTGTGTTTTACCATCAGTAGAGATTCTACTTACAGTAAAGCTTTATTTTTACTAACCTGTTTCCTTGTCTAGTTACATTTGTATGTATATGCCAAATACTTGTTACTACTGTTTTGTTGTTACTGTACTGTTGCTGTCCACACTTAAAGCATTGTAAGCTACATATATGTAATAAATTATAAAGCAGAAAAACATCTTTGTTCAAACATTTTTTGTTTATGTCATCAGATGATTGGCTGTTGTTGTTGTCTTTTGTACGCACCCATGAATTTACCAAATACTGTGGTGGGTAGGACATAGTGGCAAAGTGAGAGGTAGATGTTACTTTAATACAAGCCCTTTCATCACCAAACCTGCTTAATGGTTATATGTAAGCAAGAGTATTTTAGTACATGTTTTTAGCCCACCATCATTAGATGATGGGCTATTCAAATTGCTCTGCGCCTGTGGTCCATCCGTGGTCCGTTTGTCCGTCCGTAAACAATTTTTGTTATCGCTATTTCTTGAAAAGTAAAAATGAATTTATCACAAATTTCATATGTAGGTTCCCATTGGACTTTAGTTGTGCCCATTTTAATTTTGGGACTGGTCAGAAAAACAAAATGGCCGAAAGGCGGCCATATTGGATTTTGACTGAGAGTTTGTTATCGCCATTTCTTGAGAAGTGCTGGATAATTCTTTCTAAAAATTTCATATGTAAATTCTCCCTGATCCCTAGATGTGCCCATTAGATTTTGGGTCTGATCAGAAAATCAAATGGCCGACAGGCAGACATCTTGAATTTTTACAATGAAGTTTGTTATCGCTATATCTTGAAAAGGAACTTATAGATTTCTCTCAAATTTTTTATATAGGTTTCCCCTGGACTCTAGTTCAGCTAATGTGATTTTGAGACTGATAAAAACACAACATGGCGGAAAGGCAGCCATCTTGGATTTTGAATTTGAAAGTTTGTTATCGCTAGTTCTGTAGAAGTACTGGATGGAGTTTACTTAAATTTCATGTATATGTCCCATGGTCCCTAGTTGTGCCTGTTTGAGTTTGGGACTGATCAGAAAAACAAAATGGCCAACAGGCAGCCATTTAGGATTTGGCCTAATAAAGATTGTTATTGCTATATCTGAAGAAGTACTGAATGGATATCTCTCAAAATTCATTGTTTATTCTTCTTGTGCTCGTTTGATTTTGGGACTGATAAGAAAAAACAGAGGGGCAGGTAATCTTTAAAATCTTTTGAAAGGATTTGACTAAATTTACCTAAAATATCCTTCTGCTAAGGAAACCTGGTCATAACCGTTATTAAACAGCAGATGTATACGATCATGTATTACATTATCGCAACTTGAGATGCTGTACATATCAGTACGGAATTATGTACCCGGAGAAAGAGGTCCGTAAATTCCACAAAATAGGACTGGTATTTTCAGCGCTTTCAATTTTGACGGTGGTGGTGTCTCCTTGTGCTAACTCAAACACGACTGTTTTCTCTGAAGCTTCCGCCCAGTTCTTTTCCCCCGTCCACAGAAAACCGGCAGCGACGCCATTTTTCAAGAGCTGCGAGTATACCTGTCCGGTTGTGACGAGTCCGATTGCCCAAGTGAAGACATACACTCCTTCTTCAGGACAGGTAAATACACCTGTTGTTGGGTTGTAGCCTCCTCCTAGATTGGTCACTGGGTGGTCATTCTTGATTGTAAAATCATCACCAGGATAATGAATGCCGTGGGACAGGTAGGCATAAAAAGCCATTGGTTTTCTATCTGGACGTGCAGAGAGAAAACATCTGAGTATAGAAAGGGACATCATTTAAGGACAACCGGGCGGTTATCGAGTGACACTCTCGGGGACTGCCGAGCGGTTATCGAGTGACACTCTCGGGGACTGCCGTGCGGTTATCGAGTGACACTCTCGGGGACTGCCGAGCGGTTATCGAGTAACACTCTAGAGGACTACCGGGCGGTTATCGAGTAACTCTCGGGGACTGCCGAGCGGTTATCGAGTAACACTCTAGAGGACTATCGGGCGGTTATCGAGTGACACTCTCGGGGACTGCCGAGCGGTTATCGAGTGACACTCTCGGGGACTGCCGAGCGGTTATCGAGTGACGCTCTAGAGGACTACCGAGCGGTTATCGAGTGACACTCTCGGGGACTACCGAGCGGTTATCGAGTGACACTCTCGGGGACTACCGAGCGGTTATCGAGTGACGCTCTAGAGGACTACCGAGCGGTTATCGAGTGACACTCTCGGGGACTACCGAGCGGTTATCGAGTGACACTCCGGGACTACCGAGCGGTTATCGAATGACGTTCTAGAGGACTACCGAGCGGTTATCGAGTTACACTCTACGGGACTACCGAGCGCTTATCGAGTGACGCTCTAGAGGACTACCGAGCGGTTATCGAGTGACACTCTCGGGGACTACCGAGCGGTTATCGAGTGACACTCCGGGACTACCGAGCGGTTATCGAATGACGTTCTAGAGGACTACCGAGCGGTTATCGAGTTACACTCTACGGGACTACCGAGCGCTTATCGAGTGACACTCTAGAGGACTGCCGAGCGGTTATCGAGTGATGCTCTTGAGGACTACCGAGCGGTTATCGAGTGACACTCTCGGGGACTACCGAGCGGTTATTGAGTGACACTATTGGGGACTACCGAGCGGTTATTGAGTGACACTATTGGGGACTACCGAGCGGTTATCGAGTGAAACTCCGGGACTACCGAGCGGTTATCGAGTTACACTCTACGGGACTACCGAGCGGTTATCGAGTGACACTCTCGTGGACTACCGGGCGGTTATCGAGTGACACTCTCGGGGACTACCGGGCGGTTATCGAGTGATACTCTCGGGGATATGAACACACATATGAAGCGCAATATCAGACCTCAAATTACAGTTGTCTTAAAAGCTACACAAGTACCGGTAAGCAACACGCAACACATCAAAAGAAAAAAGTACTAAATGGTTAAATAAAGCCATGTAGATATCTATCATGGTTTTACTAATAGAGAAAGTGACGTCACAGCTGTCATGGAAACTGACGAATATTAAAACAAAGACGTGTCTATGCTCGAAAGAAAACAAAACACGAAGAACAACCCTACCATAAAAGGTAAGTTGTCTAATATAAAGTGAGAAATCACCGAATTACAATACAACTGTATCCCACTGAAGAGGACACACCTAAAGTTTGTCGCACATCCTAGATCCACAAAGACGGAAACTCTATACGACCAATGATGGTTCTATTGGTTATGGTGTCATCAGGTCACTGACAGACACTCTCTAACCGATGGTGGTTGTATTGGTTATGGTGTCATCAGGTCACTGACAGACACTCTCTAACCGATGATGGTTCTATTGGTTATGGTGTCATCAGGTCACTGACAGACGTTCTCTAACCGATGGTGGTTCTATTGGTTATGGTGTCATCAGGTCACTGACAGACACTCTCTAACCGATGGTGGTTCTATTGGTTATGGTGTCATCAGGTCACTGACAGACACTCTCTATCCGATGGTGGTTCTATTGGTTATGGTGTCATCAGGTCACTGACAGACACTCTCTAACCGATGGTGGTTCTATTGGTTATGGTGTCATCAGGTCACTGACAGACACTCTCTAACCGATGGTGGTTCTATTGGTTATGGTGTCATCAGGTCACTGACAGACACTCTCTAACCGATGGTGGTTCTATTGGTTATGGTGTCATCAGGTCACTGACAGACACTCTCTAACCGATGGTGGTTCTATTGGTTATGGTGTCATCAGGTCACTGAGAGACACTCTCTAACCGATGGTGGTTCTCTAACCGATGGTGGTTCTATTGGTTATGTTGTCATCAGGTCACTGACAGACACTCTCTAACCGATGGTGGTTCTATTGGTTATGGTGTCATCAGGTCACTGACAGACACTCTCTAACCGATGGTGGTTCTATTGGTTATGGTGTCATCAGGTCACTGACAGACACTCTCTAACCGATGGTGGTTCTATTGGTTATGGTGTCATCAGGTCACTGACAGACGTTCTCTAACCGATGGTGGTTCTATTGGTTATGGTGTCATCAGGTCACTGACAGACGCTCTCTATCCGATGGTGGTTCTATTGGTTATGGTGTCATCAGGTCACTGACAGACGCTCTCTAACCGATGGTGGTTCTATTGGTTATGGTGTCATCAGGTCACTGACAGACACTCTCTAACCGATGGTGGTTCTATTGGTTATGGTGTCATCAGGTCACTGACAGACGTTCTCTAACCGATGGTGGTTCTATTGGTTACGGTGTCATCAGGTCACTGACAGACACTCTCTAACCGATGGTGGTTCTATTGGTTATGGTGTCATCAGGTCACTGACAGACACTCTCTAACCGATGGTGGTTCTATTGGTTATGGTGTCATCAGGTCACTGACAGACACTCTCTAACCGATGGTGGTTCTATTGGTTATGGTGTCATCAGGTCACTGACAGACGTTCTCTAACCGATGGTGGTTCTATTGGTTATGGTGTCATCAGGTCACTGACAGACACTCTCTAACCGATGGTGGTTCTATTGGTTATGGCGTCATCAGGTCACTGACAGACACTCTCTAACCGATGGTGGTTCTATTGGTTATGGCGTCATCAGGTCACTGACAGACACTCTCTAACCGATGGTGGTTCTATTGGTTATGGTGTCATCAGGTCACTGACAGACGTTCTCTAACCGATGGTGGTTCTATTGGTTATGGTGTCATCAGGTCACTGACAGACACTCTCTAACCGATGGTGGTTCTATTGGTTATGGTGTCATCAGGTCACTGACAGACACTCTCTAACCGATGGTAGGGAAATTAAATATTATGTCAAAACCTCGAAAGAACTTGCAAAAAGTGTGTCCACTGTACTTATCCAAAACGATCAGGTCTTCATTTCCCACAATGTAGTGTCTCATTTCACCAACACGTCCACCGACAAATTACATGGTATCATTAAGAACTGCCTAGAGTAAGACCGGTTACGGCAAAATAGCGTTAATCTCCATCATGCGATCCTGAATTTACTAGATGTCATCTACCAATAGTAATGGGCGGCCCCGTGTTTACGATAAACTATGTATTACTGAGAGAGAACGAGGATATAGCAAACGATATGACAAATTGGACATAGTCGAGAAAGTGTCACAAAAGGATCAGACAGTGCATATAAACACCATAGACCCCACAAACAGCATTAAGTGCAGCTACGAGGAAGAAACAGAAGGCCTTTCCTTGACACCCTTCCAGTAAAGAAAGACGAAACTTTGCTCAACAGATGTGAAACGATTGTCACGGAAGAATGATAAAAGAAACAAGGACAAATTCACAGCGCCACGAAAACATGTGGATACCTGTTTTTTATTCATAATATACATACCTGCTACATGTACTATCCCTTTTCTTTCGGCACCAGATGTTCCAATCATGGGAAGTGTCTGTGCTTTAGGTGGTGCATCCTTCTGACTGTCCGTGTTCGCGTTATTCATAAAATCTGAATCCTCTAGGATTAGCTTGAGTGTAAGTATCGCGCTGGTCATGGTCGTGTCCATGGACGTCAGCAGCCAGTTTCGACTCCAGGAGTGAAACCCACGCCTTTAGTTGTTTATTCTCTTCTTTAATTGAGTTTAATTCTATCTGGAGCTTGATGACAATATCCGTTTCTTTTTTCTGACATTGTTTCAGTTCCTCCAGCTGTTGAGAGAGTTCAGTGGTAGCATGCTGTGTCATCTCAGCTGCATCAGGACTGAGATTCCCGTTACAGGCGGTCACAGATAAGGTCAGACCCAGGATAAGCAATGACTTCATCAACATTCTGATCTACAAATGTATACATGTTTAAGCCAATCAAAGAGAATATACTTTGAAGTGATTAAGAAGACCGTAAATTCAGAAAAAAATCCGTGCCAACTTAAACAGTTTGTTAGTATTTCCCCCAAGGCTGCGGAAAGCACAGTGATTAAAGGAGTACAAGTTATTTAGTATGTTACATTACATTGTTTTTCAGTCCGACCATAAAACTCTTCTTCGTCAAAATTGTTTTTATAAACCTTATTATTACGGTACATAAACTAATATGTTGCTATTTCATTTGATATGATGGTACATTTGAAATCAACATCACAAAACTTATAGCATCTTGTTGGAAGACTAAAATATCTAAATTTGAAGCATGCGCGTCATTTTCGTTGGGTAATAAAACTCAACTTATTGATATTGGAGTACTGCCAAGACTGATAGGGCAGATCGCTTGTTGATATTTCAGGACCCGACCATGTGTCTGACACAGATGGAATTTCGGGTGGGAATCACAAGCCTACTTAAGACCACTCATTATAGTCATAAAACATATCCTTCTATTTCTCTATCGAAAGAAAAGGACTTCATAAAGTCTTTTATAGCGTGGTCAAATATAACATGAAGCCAATATATAAATATTCAGTATATCTTTTTTCTTACTTTTGGATATTTTTTCTTTTTTCAAATTTATCATTTTCACATTTCTTTTTTCCACGCAACACTATTACAATAAACACACTTCTGTTAAAACTGTAAAGGTGTTTTTGTTCGTTTCTCTGGCAGTTTTCAACATTAGACTGATACTAAACAAATTTTAAATCCTATTAGTCATAACGCTTACACTCTTAGAAATGTTTATAATAATGAATTATAAATACAAGATGTAAACAAATAGGTGTTCTAACAGGTACAAACAATTCAACATGTCTAAAACATCCACTGATTGCTCAAACTAACATACCTGTGGTAGCAGCATCTCCATGTCGTGCCCAAACTAGAAAAGATTTGTTGACGTGCTTTGTTTTTTAGCCCTAGTAAACAAGCCAACATATTTTTTCTGATAACAGCAAAAGCTATCATTGAGGTCAGTTACTATCTGTAAGCGTTTTCGTGTCTTAATTGCGGTATATAGTCAGAATTTCTCCCTGCGTGTATGACCCGTAAACTGTTCAGCATTATGGCCTTGTATTAAATAAACCCAAGGAACAAGATTTACCAACTTTTGGAGTTAACAACGATGTAAATAATCAATATTTGTATACAAATCACGGAACTCTTCAATTCTATTTCAATTTACTTCATTAATGCGTGTAAGAGCATTCCTTTATCCTGTATCCTATTACATCTCGCAGTTGGATAATTTGGTCTTTACCGCTTTGTCAGAACTTCAGTGTTTTATCACATAGGGATGATGTGCCTATACAAGTTATGAGCCTCATATTTAAGGGTTTCACTTTTGGCGGACATAAAGCATTATTTTTCAACCCTTCAGTATCTATACACTTTTGCCAGCAATGTTTAAAGCCTCAATGCCACTTTTAAAAAAGTGTTTTTCTTGAACGTTCAGAAAGTCTTCATATGCATGTATGACGTCATCATCTGACCAAAAGTTGGTACCGGAAATGGCCATTTTTTAATTATAGAAATAGATGAAAGTCTTTATGGAGCTAAGGCGGATCCTCATTCAAAGCCACAATCGCCATGACAATGTTTTCTCTTTACATGTGAAAAAGTTATGCATATGTGTGTGGAACAACACACGTTACTGCATAGTTATACCAGCAGAATATCAGTTTAATGTTTTCTCTTTGACAAACCTAAAAAGTGGATATGCATAAACTTTCATTGCACGCTGATTGTTTGTCATTTGCAAATAATATAAACAAAGAATTTCTAATTGCAAGATCTTCCGTAAGAAGAAAATGTGAAATCCCTACTGTATTGGCTATCCATCTCTTTGTAACTCGCCAGTCATCAGTCATCACAGACTGTATGTACCATTTCTGGGGTTGCAACAGTGACAGGCCTTCCAGGACGGGTGTCATCCCTAAGGCTTTGTCTACCATGATTAAATTCAACCACCCACCTTTTCACTGCAGCATATGAAGGGGCATCATTCCCTAGTGTTGCTACCATATCAGTATGGATATCCTTTGGTGCTAGGCCTTTCTTATGCAAATATTGAATCACTGATCTTTTAGAGATTTTTTCCATCTTGCAAAAGTCACTTGCCTTGTTTACTTTATATCAACTGGCCAAATGACACTAGTCTTCGGGTACACAGCCTTAAAAAGTCTGGAAAGAGTAGAGCTAAAAAGGGTATCCCTGCTCAACTTCTTCCATACAAGGCTCGCAACGTATCGATCAGTACAGGTATATGAAATATGATCAGACCGAGACACATTTTGTGTCAAAGGCCTGTTAAGGGGTTTCTTTCACGACAACCATGTATAATTCCCGTCACAGAAAAGGCAATTATGACAAGAAAATGTCCTATCCTTCAGAACAGCCATGTATAATTTTCGTTAATTATGTTTAGACAATGTCATATTTACTTGAAACTATTTCATGGCGTCAGAACATCAATATTTCGGTTTGCATTTATTGAAGTGCAAGGAATTAAAGACCTGTGATGAAACAAGAGGCCCAATAGGCCTTCAGCGCTCATCTGGTATATATATATATATACCAAATATCATGCCTCTATGCCTTTAAGTTCATGAGATGAAGTCATTTAGAGGTTTTAACAAATCTGTCCCCTGTGACCTTTGAATATAAGCAAAGGTTATTTTTCCCTATAAACTTTGTCAGGCTTCATCCAAGGAACATACCAGCCAAAAATATTACAACATTTGGTCCATGAGTTAATGAGAAGTTCTTCAAAGAAAAAAGTTGACGGATGTCGGACGCCATGCCACAAACTCACTTGTCCCTTCACAGTAATCTTACTTCAGCGCATTTCATGCTAAAATATCACTGCACTTATTGTCATTTCTGTAAATGGTTCAGAATAGAACATTTATTTCTGATGTACAAATTGGTCATTGCACATATATGCACTACAATTTGATTGCCACATGCATTGACACATGTGATGGGGATACCATTGATGGTAATTGTAGAAACTGTGAAACTAGATATATCCATCATGTTGACACATCATACAGACTAATATCACTAAGGGTAATATACAACGATTGAAAGTGAGGAACAATTATATCATATTCATCCGTTCAGACTACTGGCGTGGTGCAGTCAAGATCCCATGATTTCCGTAAGCAGTTTTACATGTTTACGATCATTTTAATAACAGAAAAGTTTAGAATAAACACATGTACTTGATGTTCATCTGTAATTAGTGAACCGGGAAAATTGTGAAATAATTTGTTGATTTCTTGAATAACCCTCATCTGGGTTAATTCTTAAACATTTGTTAGCAATTAAGATTTTTGTTCAGTCATCACATAGACTTCAACCATTCAGGTCCTGTCCATCAATGACAAATCCAAGGACAGATTCGTACAAAGTAGATTATCAACATAAATAAATATGTCTCTAGATGGTAACTACTCCGATCTCCCAGTATCAATGCCTCCTCCATACTTTCACAGTAGCTGTATAGGTACGTGTATGTATAGCCAGCTATGGGATACTGTTAATACTGCCTTGCTCATAGTGATAGTAACAATTGGTAAAGTACACTGTCATTACAAAAAATATGACAAAATCTGAAGAAAAAAAACTTCTTTCAAATGCTAAGTCAAATTATGTGTGATAAGTTACCATAAAATCAGAAAAAGATAGGCCAGTTTACTCCTTTTGAATGTACCCGAGTATCTGTAATTTGGAGAGAATATTAGTTAGTAAGCCAAATATAAACAAAACTTATTTGATCACAAGCTCATTTTTAAACAGTTTCTGTGGCCATGTTACCAAGAAAACTTGCAAGAATGTATTTACAGTATTCTCTTTTCTAAATCACTCATTCAAACAGCTGACTTAGCATTAACCAATTACATTTCATGTTGATACCTCTTATAGTTTTATTGTAATGCCTGGACAAATTTAAGTATGAAAAATTAACAAAGCAACAACTCCTAAATTATGTAAAAGTGAGTGATGGTTCTTTTCTGGACTTTTCCTTGTTGAGATTTATCTGCCTATGAAGTTTCATGTTAATATCTCTTTTAAAGTGCAATGCTCAGGACAAAATTATGATGAATGGATGGATGGACAAAACAGCAATTATATACTCTTCCTTTGTGGAGCATAAAAAAACAACACCAGGTAATTGAAGATTCCAGGCCAGCTAGAAAATTTATTGAAAACAATTAAATCATTAATGAATATATCAGCTTTCAAAGGACTTTGTTCTCCTTCCAAATCATTTATCATTCCTTCCACCTTTGGGTTTTCCAGAAACATATTTTGTACTGAAAAGGGACAGAATGAAGAGTGAAACAAATCAATTTCAAGAGGCAGTACATAATTGTTATAATTAACATATATAATAATTAAATATGTGTTTCAAGTATTTGTCAAAACAAACAAGTCAAACTCTCACACAAAATTTTCATGGAATTATCATTTCAACTTGAAAACTTTAGTGAAACTTCCTACACACACATACACTTGCCCAAACATGAATCAATCGTTCATCCTTGTAAACTAAAACAAAATATGTTTTGATGAATGCACACATACTGGTATATATGGTGCTTATTTTAAAGTATATTAACAATATATACTATAAATATACTTAATGTTGATTGAAAATTGATAATGGAATAATATTTTTTAACTTTTGAGAAATGATAACATGACCAAATAATCAGCCCTATACGAGGACTTATTGATAAGTTGTGGGCCTTGAACTGAAGAAGTTAAGCAGGGATGTCCTTTTTCAGCTCTACTTTTCCCTGACTATTTTAGACTGTGTTCCCTGAGGAATGATGTCAGTTGATGTTGAAAAGGTAGCACTCTATAGGATACAAGATAAGTGACTTTTGCGAAATGGACCAAATCACTGAAAGAGCAGTGATTCAATATTTGTACAAGAAAGGTCTAGCACCAAAGGATATCCATACTGACATGGTAACAACACTAAGAAATGATGCTCCTTCATACGCTACAGTAAAAAGGTAGGTGGCAGAATTTAAGCGTGGCAGGTAGAACCTTGGGGATGATGACATTGCTGGCAAATGTGTATTTGACATGATGATGATAGCCCAGCTTGTACAGACTTCAGTACAGTAGAAAACATATGACTTATGATGATGATAGCCTGGTCAGAACAGATTCAATGCAGGAGATTATGGTGAAAAAGAATGCAACATGTCCGCCAAAAGTCAAACCCTTAAACACGAAGCTCACAACTTATCAATCAGTTCTCACAGAAGCTGTATATCTTTGGAAATTTCCAGTTTCTATATTTAACCATTCATAATAATATAACTATCAAGTAATGAAGATTTCTGTGTGAAACAAATCTACCCTTTACCTAGTAGGGCCTATGAGCTTGGACAAGTCCATCTGTTTGATAGTGACTATTTATTAACAAATCTACCCTTGACCTAGTAGGACCTATGAGCTTGGACAAGTCCATCTGTTTTATAGCGACTCTTTATTAACAAACAATGCTGTCTGATGTATTATACATGTCAAATCACAGAAGCTCTAACACTTCCTTACATGTATGTTTACCAGGTGAGACTAAAACGGTTCTGCTCCATTGAACTTTACGTGACAAAGGTGTGGACATATCTTATGACATTTACCTTTTTTTCTCAAAATTCCTGTTAAAACCAAATACAACTGTTTGTAATGTACGAACAGTCACAGTTCTCCAGTGTCCCTGATATGTTTTTATCTCTACACAGAATCATGTCGCTGATAATATCCATTCGTATCGATGTGAAAATTAGTTGTATTAGTGAAATCATCTCCTGTGTAATGGAATGTCTAGTTGACTTCCACCGCTGTTCTTCCACATTGAATTAATCCTAATGGAGTTCAACAAATATTGTTCAGAAAAAATTTGTTTGCAAGAGAAATGTGATTCAAAACAAAAATCTTGCAACACAAATCAAAAAGTTTCTGGACATTTGGACTTTTTGGGTGCATTTCTGCCAAATCTCACCGTAGAAATCACTCACACTCCACAGGGTAAAGTTGACACAAGTGATTACAAATACATTCATCAGAAGAAATCTGAAGCTTTTTTCCTTTTTGGTAACTGCAGCAGATTGTCAGTGAGAGAAACAATATCTGAACCTTGTCTTTTACTTCCTGGAGTCCTCTCCTCTGTGGGGGTATTACTGCCATGTTTTGGGGTGAGTTTAGGAGTAAGTGTGGGAGTCTTGCCTCCTGTGTGTCTATGAGTGGGAGATGGGGTGTAACTAGCTCGTAAAGCTTTGTCCGTTTGAGTCCGCACACCAAGCCGAGCTGTTGCCAGTCTCTGGGCTGCTGGTGACATGGATTGGAGTCTTTCTGTTGTAGATCTTCCAAATTTTGGAGAGGGTCTGTAATATCAAATAAAATCAATATAATTACAGAGATTGTTTACAGATGTTCACTTGAAATATATTTACAGTGGTACAAATGAATATAGTGAAGTCAGGAGTTTATCTTCTCAAGATTGAATAAATAATGGTCCTGGATATGGCAAAATCAGTAATGTCAGCTTTCCTTCCTTTTCATCAAATATTGACATAATAACATTGTAAAACTTTCTGCCAAACTACTGTGAAATGTATCGTTTCTTAAAGGGACATTCAGCACAATTCAGGTTCTTATATAATATTTCTATCAATAAAATCAGAAAAGGATCTACTTCATAAGATTGTATGCCTCAGTTCACCTTATAAACAAATATATAATATTGAATTTGTGGAAATTCTATATAAGTCTAGCTAGATTGATTTACAAATATCACCTTGATCATGATCGAGTCAGAACACATTTACTTTTCATCAGTCTTACATTGTTTTTAAGTGAAATAATTGTTTGATTTTAAAATCAACAAGAAATCAGCCCACCAAATATAACCATGACAACCTAGCTTGTACAGACTTCAATAATGTAGAGAACATATGACTTTTCATGATAGCCTAGCTTGTGCAGATTCAGTGCAGTAGAAAACAATACTTATGATAATGACAGCCAAGCTTATACAGACTTTACAAACGTAGAGAATACATGACTTACGATGATGACAGCTTGTACAGACTTTAGAACAGTAGAGAACACATGACTTACGATGATGACAGCCTGGCTTGTACAGACTTTAGAACAGTAGAGAACACATGACTTACGATGATGACAGCCTGGCTTGTACAGACTTTAGAACAGTAGAGAACACATGACTTACGATGATGACAGCCTGGCTTGTACAGACTTTAGAACAGTAGAGAACACATGACTTACGATGATGACAGCCTGGCTTGTACTGACTTCAGCGCTTTCTCCTTCTTGTCTCTGTGAGCCTTACTTGCCTTCTCTGCTAAGTCCATAGCAAGTTGGTCTCTTTTTGGCAGTTCTGGAATCTGTTAACAAAATCGAAATCTTTACAAGTCTGAAGACTTCTGAAGTTACATGTAAAAAAATTATTTTCACATAATTTAAATGGAACACCTTATTTCAGAATTGAAGATGACGTCTACACATTTGGTTACAAAATAATAAGAAAAATCATCACAAGATGTTTACCTTCATCAATAAAAATATGGTATCTGGGAAAACAAGTACAACACAGGATTGGAAAGTTCACTAACTATATCCACTGCAAATGTTTAACTATGAAAAACAGGAAAGGTGTTAGACGTGTACTAAATATACTTCAAAAACTTATTCCATAGACTTCAAATGGAGTTTTGAGGTAATTTGTCCTTACACCAATTATTCCATAGACTTCAAATGGAGTTTTGAGGTAATTTGTCCTTACACCAATTATTCCATAGACTTCAAATGGAGTTTTGAGGTAATTTGTCCTTACACCAATTATTCCATAGACTTCAAATGAAGTTTTGAGGTAATTTGTCCTTACACCAATGTTAGATTTCTAATCATTGCATATAACAAACAGGAGGGATACAGAATGTATTGCTATGGTTTAAGACTTCAAAGCTTTTCAAAAATTGACTACTGCAACTTTGAAGTATCAATGGCTCAGATTCTGGGGAACAACATTAGCTCACCCTAACTTGTCATCTGAGCTAAAAACTAAAATCCTACAATTTTGTGTGTTATTTGTAGTGACCATATCAACAAATTCATATGTTGGTTACTTTTTACTCATAGAAACACTTTCAAAATATGATTTCACAGCAATTTGTATGATTTCAGTCAAACAAGCAATAAGCTATCCATTTTCCATTTATTAAGACGGATGTGATCACAATGTTGAATTTTGAGTATTTATGCAATTTCATTTGATCATCAAAAAATGGACAAAAATCACATCCCTTGAGAATAGCAATTTTCACACTAAATGCTAGTAAATAAAGCACTCTCCATCAGACATTTTGATTTTCACATGATTTCTAACCTTACCTTAAATGTAGGACCACCAGCAGCAGTGAGGGGTGTGTCACTACCTTCTAGTCGGTATGGAGTGCTTTCTATCTCTCCCCACGTCATCAATGGTGAGTCCTCCACCCCTGGGGCTGGAGAAGGTGTTCCCATAAAACCATACCCATTGACTTTTGGTGATTCTAAGGGCATGACCTCTTTTCCATCGTGTCCTATCTTGCCGTAACATGCTAGAGCCTTTAATGATGCTGCCTGTTTTATCTGTTCAGCACTTCTAGTCTGATTCCAAGGACTAATCTTGAATCTAGTGTTTTCATGAATTATCTCCCTTGATTTGCCTTTTCTCAACTCCATCAGTTCAGTTTCACTTAACTCTACACCTGTCAACATCAAACAGAAGCTTACTTTTACTCATAAAAAAGACAGAATATAGCATAGATATCTAATACTTAATTTTATGTATCAATATCATTAATAATAAGGGGAGAGTTTGATTTTTCATGCATACACTGGAGATAAGATAATGAGTTTTGGTTTAAACACAAGACACAGTCATGATAATAAGCTTGCTTTCATGCATACACTGGAGATCAGATCATGAATTTTGATTTAAACATATGACACAGTCATGATAATATGCTTGCTTTTGGGTATAAACAAGAGATGCAGTGGAATTTCTGGCCATGTATTTATGAAAGTTTAATTTCTGGCCATGAATTTCACAATGATACATACCATCAGGAACATACATAAGAGAGTTTCTAGCCTTGTATTTCCACGAGTCTGCTCCAGCTTGAGGAGGTCCTTCTATAGCCTGTTGCTCTATGCTGGGTAATGCCAAACGTTCTTCCTCCTCCTGCAGACAAGATAAAGTAATTTAAAAACCTTTAAAAGTTGTATGTTTGTACCATTTCTCATTGTTTGGTTTTATACAACACTGGATGTGCACTGCTGTCAACAATGAAACTCATTAAACAGTTGTTGCGTGTTTATGTCTTTTCTGACATCACATCCTTAATCAGCTTCAATTCAGGAACTCATCCCATGGGCTGATATCTGATCAAAAGTTGATGAAGGATGCATATTTCTTTATTACAAAACAAAACAATAAAGATAATGTAACAATTCAAGCATAATTGTAAAAAATAGGAAAAAGAGCTGTCAAATAAAGGTTGTGTCATAAACTGAAGCATCTATGTGTAAAGTTATATAAATCTGGACTCATGTGTCTGTATATTACTGGACAGTGAATTCAGTTAAAGCTTTACTAAATATGGATTTCCATCTAAAAACATTATTGTAGATGCCAAGACCTTACCATGATCTCAACCATTCAATAATTATTATCATATTCATATATACCAGATATTGGTAATAAAAATGATTTCATATTGTTTACATATTTCTAACATATCAATCAGGGATAGAATCTAGCCATCACACATTATCCATGTGGTGAATTAACAGAATTTGTTAAATATAAAATGGGCTTTTCTTGTACCAACTAACTATCCTCTGACTTCCAGAAGGCGATAAAAATTAAAATGCCAATGAATAGAAAGAGAAACATATTTCACCTACTGCAAAATAAGGCATAGTCAAGTTTAGAAAATGTTAAATTTTTTTGAGGAAGTTTATAGAAAGGAATTTTCTCTAATTTTATATGTAAAATTGATATCTTTATACTAGCTGTGCGTCTCTCAGTTAGGTCAATTATTCATTAGTCCCTGCTAAAATCTACTAGTGATGACCAATGGATTTGGGTTAGTTCAGAAATTAAAGAAAGGGGTATAACTCTATATAAAAGCATGATTACGGAGTAGATCATCTCCCAATTTTGCTGCAGGGGTGTTTGCGTTGGTTAGAGTATTGGTAGGAAACATCAGGTGACAGTCTGAGGTGCCTGTTCATGCATTCTGCCTGTGACAATTTGTGTTCTCAAGAAGCTGAGGAATGGATAGGTCTGTGATGTTGTAACCTTGGGAGGAATTTTTACCCTACTTGCTCTGGACAACACGTGCTTGGCCTTCTGTATGTTATTCAGTGAGGTAGCCACCAACTACTTAAAGGAGACTTCTTGAATAACCATCAAGCACAGAACATAAGCGTATGAATCAGAAGGCCAGAAGTTACCATTATTTAAAACCTCAGGTTAGGCAGTCAAGAACCTCTTCATTGTTTAAAGATTTCTCTGGCCTAATTTACAGAAAGATCCTATAATTCTTTCACTCCTCCATCAAATGGAAAAGGCTCTAAAATACATCTGTGTTGGATAAACATTTCTGAGTGCATTATGTACTATTTTTACAATAACTTTACCAGTACCCTGGTATACATACATAAGATATACAAATGTTAAATACATGTACATATACATACATATACTATACAAACATGTGTTTGACACCGACAAACCAACTGAAATCTACCAGGTACATACTGTTGTTCTGTCCTTTTCATTTTCATAAAGCCAGGCATGTTTCTCTTTGTGTTGTTTTTGTGTCTCCTCCAGAATCTCTGCGAATGATGCATTATCTTCACTGGTGTTTTTAGACAAGTACCTATCCAGCGATGCAAGGTCTTTTTCCTCTGTAAGTTAAACAAAAACATTTGAAAATTATAGAAAGAGGCTCAATTAATGCCTTATTGAGGACTGATATGATTTAACTTTACAGCTGAAAGACGACCAACTTTTGATACTGCAGAACAGCTTACATATGAATGACTTAGGTTTAGTAATTTGTTCACGGCTTCAAATTATCTTGTTAATCATCACACAAAGTAATCATAAAATTCTGATCTTTATTCAAGGTTTTCATAATACATCAAAGTCTAATGATCTGTAGATACAATGTCTTTAAAATGTTCTGAACACTTGTCTTCTTGGCCACCACTTTCTTACCATCATCAAAGTATTAAGCTTAACAACCTTGTTCCATCTGATGATAATGATATCAATATTTATGACGTTCCTTACTTGTTGTTTTTGACTCTGACTCCATCTCTCCACCACTACGTTTCGGAGATTTCTGTCTACTCTCTGGTTCTGGAGTCTCAAATGTTGCTGGTGTAGCATCTATAACATATCATAACATATACAGTTACAAACCTGGTTGATAAGGGATAATAATGAACACATATCAGATGTATATTAATGGTTATTAGGTATCACATTCCAACTTGATATGTATCAGTAAAACCTGTGTAAATGATTTATCTATTACACTAAATGTACAATGTATGTCATTGTTTCCAAAATTTTCACATTCAAGATTGAGCCATAAAGATTAAAAGTATCAAATTTAGCTTTAGAAAAGAAACGCTTTTTGGTGTCTTTAAAAACATATTATATCTATATATGAGATAGTACATACATCCTGTGGTGGAGCCTGTATGGGGTCGATTAGTGTTCTTCCTCATCTGTATCTCACGAAGCTTTACCAAGTCATTGTTCTCCAATGCTGTGAAGTATTCTGTGTGTGACTGGAGTTTGGGCAAATCCGGAAAAAAGTCTCTTTCAATGATATTCTCAAGATTCTGAAATATATATGAGCAATAAAAATATTTCATATGCTTGAATGCCTAGACACAAAGATTGACAGAATTGTGACTTTAGCAATCAAAACAGGGGCACTTAGGGACCTCCAATTCTGATATCTAATGTATAATATGACAAATGTTCTGATAAGGTAGACCAAAATAACAATATACAATATACATCAATAACGTGTAACTTTTTTCATTAATGCCTCAAGTTTCCTAGTAACTAATCACAATAAAGAGAAGTACTCTCTTGTCAAGCGCTATATTGCAGATAGAATCTCACATGAACTACATATATATTGTACTTCTCCTCAAGGAAATTAGTCACCCGCTAGTTTCCAAAGGTTGGAGGCAAGTCAATTCCGTACCAGGTTGTTTCGGTTTTTCCGAAGTAAGTCGTTTCAGTACGTTTTGATTTGTGTATTTAATTATGTTTTTCATGTGTTTTGTCATTATTAAATATTGCCCAATCCGTTACTGAAAAACTGTTTACTCAAAATGACAGACTTGCTGTGTAAACCAATTTTGCAAGTACCGAAACGACTATTGTAAGTACCGAAACAACTTGTTACCGAAATGACTAGAATTTTCCAAAGGTTACACTAATGTCTGTGGGACAATGCAAGTATTATTCCCTACATGGAAGCCATTGTAACAGAGGTCATTATTTTATATGACTGCATCTGTTAAGATTCGAACTTGGGAAATATGACTGACTCTGTTTAGTCTTGCTCTCAACAGATTCAGCTCGAGCGGTGTATTGCGGCTACAGTGTTTTCCCCTGTCGTCGTCGTTCAGGTTGATAGAATCCTCGTGCAGATACAAGAAAGTAAGTATAATACACCCAGATACCTGGATCAACAGCGTCTTTTTATCTACATTAGTTACTAACCTTTGTATAGGTTTCTTCGTCCAACACTTTTACATTTTTCTTCTGATTTTCTTGTCGATGTGGATCCGTGTTAGCAACAGTTAATTCCGTCGCCTTTTGGAGAGCCATAATGTTACTGATTTAGCTTTAAATTTATATTTAGTCTTCTCCAAACAGCCGCATACACTGATGTCTATAAGGTATACATGTAAACATTTCACTACATCGCACAACGTTTAACGCAGATCTGTGTCATTTTCTAAAGTACCAATTAGTGACCGTTCAAAGCGTTTGTGAGATGCAGGGGAAAATATACTTTTTAAACGGATACTGGGTAAAATTTCCGGAAATTCGGTTTGGCGTTTTAAAAGTCGAATTCGAATATTCTCAAACTGTGTAAAACCCAGTAGTCTTTTATTTAAGGACCAACGTTGATCCTACACTTTATGAAATTTGACAAGTTAGATTTGTTTTGACTTTCTCCTATGATTTATAAGATAATTTCAAGTGCTTCCTTCTCACGCAAGACAAGATAAGGTATGCACAAGCCCCCATGCGTCCACACCGTTTATATACAAATCGTTAGTGTTTGAAAAGGCAATATCTGAACAACTTAATTGAAGACTGAAATCCCTACTACTTTGGCCTTCAGGCAGAGTTACAGATTTAACTACCAATATTCACCGATAGCCTGATGGCGACAACGAATGCGATGGCCAAAGCCACATTGAAGGACTTGTCCAGGTTCGTTTGAAAATTAGTGATCGAGGTTTGCGATGTGCCTATAACTGTCGAGCTTGTCAACAGATAAAAATGTAGCATTTAAGTACAATTTTATAGGAAGCAAGAACAGAGTACATTCGATGCAATGGTAAAAAGGGACTGCCACAGGAATAATTACAAGTCGTTAAGGATGTATGAAACTCGTAGTTGGCCAGAAGTTAGGCATAATTCAATACAAAGTAAATTCAAACGGGATTTTCAAGTCAAATTTCCCGTTACTTTATATGGTAATTATCTGGAAGTTTTCTGTAGAATCCGAGAAAATCGTGCATGAATTATCACCACAGACTTGCAATACGTGAATACTGACTTGGTAAATCACTTTGGTTCATAATAAACTTTACAGCAATTGCGAAACAAGTTTTTCCAACTTATATTAATCACTCTTGTTGGACTGGATGGAAGCGGAAACCTGAATACCCGGTGAAAACCCCGTGACGTGATCGAGCAGGTGACCCAATCATTTTTCACGTCCATTCCGGGAATCGAACCCCGGACGGCTAGGTGAAGTGGGTTACTACGGCGCCACCCGACCGAATCTTAGGACCCAAACAAAATTATTTCATTTGTTTCTTTTACAACGACCCCTTCTTTTTGTATTATGAAACTATTCCGAAACATTTTTCTTCTATCAAAACATAATGAATTTTAAAATTAAACTTCAGAACATTGTCAAATTAGTAAATGCTTTCAGCAATATTTCAAAACCTTTATTTTTAGTCACTATGGAGATTTGTCACTGTCATATCAAATTGAAAATTAGTATTTTTAGATAATGATTCATGCATTTTGAGGAGAAAAGACATTTGCTGGAAAAAAAGCGAGAATACTTATTCACAAAAAAAAGTAAACGTGATTTTTTTTATAAAACTGACATATTCTGACGCCTGTGGCGGCAACAGGGACATTTTCCTTTACTTTTAAATTAATTCCTTCACCTGACTTTCAAAAAAAAAAATCACCTGAATAAAAGTTCATTTCGAGATTTTGAGCATACATCCTTACTGACTAGTTCGTTTTGGTTGAGGTTTTATTGTTTGTATTTCCAGTCTCTTTTGCACCTGTCGTGGAGCTGATTAATCTTTTCTCTGTGATGGGTGAAGTCATTTGGACTGAGATCCAGTTTCCAGATAAGAAATATCTCCTGTGTACCGTTTACAGACCTCCAAATAGTAAACACTCCTGGAATTAGCTTCGTTTATCTCATATGTTGTTAAAGTTGGTGACATCAATGTAGATCTCTTACATGCAGAAAGTACACACTTAATTTATGATATCATCAACTCCTTTCATTAGACCGACATGATTGACAAAACGACACGTATAGAGGCACGTGCTCTACCCTGCTTGACTCTACTCTCTGATACACGCACTTTGAGTTTTGCTGACGTAATCGACATATATAATGACATATCTGATCACTAGGAGAAGACAATTGAACTGATTGTTGTTATTAATATTTCAAAAGCTTATTTAAGTAAATTAGTAAGTTATGGGCACGTAGATTACGAAATCTTTAACACTAAATTAGACGCGAAAGATTTATTTTCAAGGACACACTCCCAAAATGACATGTTTACTTTTTACATAATTTTTTTGCACATGGCTTGTTATGGTTCGATCTATTATCAAATCTTGATTCAAATCTAATTGAAGACGAGAAAAAGATTATTGAAAATATGTAAATATTCTCGTTCTCCTTTTAACGAAAAACGTAATCATGTTAAGAATTAAAAAAAAAAATAAATACACAAAAGAACTTTTTTAAGCAAACATAACAGGAATTTTTAGATCAATATCCAAGGTCGAATCCAAGAAATTTCAGGAAAATTGTCCGTATACTGAGAAAAAAAAATATCGGGAAACTGTAACATAATACCCTCTTTTATATTTGAAGCTGGAAACACTGAAATGACAAACGTTTGTAAAGTAGCGACAAAATGTGACAGAACTTTTCATTTAAATGACATTTTGAAACTCGAAATCTATTGGAAGTGACATAATCAGTCATAACACGTTAAAAATACAACAACTACAGCAGATTTCTCTTTATCATTACTTAGTATTGTTGGAAATGTTTTTGAACGTCTAGTTGTAAAATTGTAAACAATTATCTACGAGCAAACTCTCTTCAATATATAAACATCAATCAAGTTTCTAGCCGGGACACAGAGATTTGGCATGAATTCTCGACTCACAGTCCATATATATGTATTATAAGCAGGAGGTTGGCGCGAATTCCCGACCCAAGGTCCATATATATATAAGTACTATAGACAGGGATTTGTCTCAAATTCCCGACCCACGGCCCACATATATATATATGTACTATAGACAGGGATTTGTCTCAAATTCCCGATCCACGGTCCATATATATACATGTACTATAGACATCGATTTGACTCAAATTCCCGACCCACGGTCTATATATATATGTACTATAGACAGGGATTTGACTCAAATTCCCGACCCACGGTTAATATATATATGTACTATAGACTGGGATTTGACTCAAATTTCCGACCAACGGTCCACATATATATATGTACTATAGACAGGGATTTGTCTCAATTTCCCGACCCACAGTTAATATATATATATATGTACTATAGACAGGGATTTGACTCAATTTCCCGACCCACTGTCTATATATATATATGTACTATAGACTGGGATTTGGCTCAAATTCCCGACCCACGGTCTATATATATATGTACTATAGACAGGAATTTGACTCAAATTCCCGACCCACGGCCCATATATATATGTACTATAGACAGGGATTTGGCTCATATCCCCGACCCACGGTCCATATATATATACATGTACTATAGACAGGGATTTGACTCAAATTCCCGACCCACGGTACATATATATATATGTACTATAGACAGGGATTTGTCTCAAATTCCCGACCCAAGGTCCATATATATATATGTACTATACACAGGGATTTGACTTAAATTCCCGACCCACGGTCTATATATATATATGTACTATAGACAGGAATTTGGCATGAATTCTCGACCCACGGTTAATATATATATGTACTATAGACTGGGATTTGACTCAAATTACCGACCCACGGTCCATATATATATGTACTACAGACAGGGATTTGGCTCAAATTCCCGACCCACAGTTAATATATATATGTACTATAGACAGGGATTTGACTCAAATTCCCGACCCACGGTCCATATATATATGTACTATAGACAGGGATTTGGCTCATATCCCCGACCCACGGTCCATATATATATACATGTACTATAGACAGGGATTTGACTCAAATTCCCGACCCACGGTCCATATATATACATGTACTATAGACATCGATTTGACACAAATTCCCGACCCACGGTCTATATATATATGTACTATAGACAGGGATTTGGCTCAAATTCCCGACCCACAGTTAATATATATATGTACTATAGACTGGGATTTGACTCAAATTCCCGACCCACTGTCCATATATATATGTACTATAGACAGGGATTTGGCTCATATCCCCGACCCACGGTCCATATATATATGTACTATAGACAGGGATTTGGCTCATATCCCCGACCCACGGTCCATATATATATATATGTACTATAGATAGGAATTTGACTCAAATTCCCGACCCACGGTCCATATATGTACTATAGACAGGGATTTGACTCAAATTCCCGACCCACGGTCCATATATATATATATATATATATGTACTATAGACAGGGATTTGGCTTAAATTCCCGACCCACAGTTAATATATATATGTACTATAGACAGGGATTTGACTCAAATTCCCGACCCACGGTCCATATATGTATATGTACTATAGACAGGAATTTGGCATGAATTCTCGACCCACAGTTAATATATATATGTACTATAGACAGGGATTTGACTCAAATTTCCCGACCCACGATTAATATATATATGTACTATAGACTGGGATTTGACTCAAATTCCTGACCCACGGTCTATACATATATGTACTATATATAGACTGGGATTTGACTCAAATTCCCGACCCACGGTCTATATATATATGTACTATAGACAGGAATTTGTCTCAAATTTCCGACCCACGGCCCATATATATATATGTACTATAGACAGGAATTTGACTCAAATTCCCGACCCACGGTCCATATATGTATATGTACTATAGACAGGAATTTGGCAGGAATTCTCCACCCACAGTTAATATATATATGTACTATAGACAGGGATTTGACTCAAATTCCCGACCCACGGTTAATATATATATGTACTATAGACTAGGATTTGACTCAAATTCCCGATCCACGGTCCATATACATATGTACTATAGACAGGGATTTGGCTCAAATTCCCGACCCACAGTTAATATATATATGTACTATAGACAGGGATTTGTCTCAAATTCCCGACCCAAGGTCCATATATATATGTACTATACA